CCTGGCTGGTGTGACCTTGGGTCAGTCACAAGCTCTGGCACAGCTGTCCTTGAAAAAGAGCAGTTTGCGAAAGAGCTCTCTCAGCCCCACCCACCTCACAGGGTGTCTGTTGTGGGGAGGGGAAGGGAGAGGAGTTTGTAAGCCGCTCTGAGACTCCTTTGGGTAGTGAAGGGTTGGGATATAGAACCAATCTCTTCTTCTTCTTCTAAGCGGTGTGCAAGTCTCGTGAGCAACGATTCTACTTTGGGAGCTTCTACTCTACTGGCAGACAGACTTCATGGTTCCTGGGATCCCAGATCACCGCAGACTGTGACAGCAGCCATGAAATTAAAAGACGCCTGCTCCTTGGGAGGAAAGCGATGGCGAACCTAAACAGCATGATAAAAAGCAGAGACATCACCCTGCCAACAAAAGTCCGCATGGTCAAAGCAATGGTATTCCCAGTAGTCATGTATGGCTGCGAGAGTTGGACTATAAGGAAGGCCGAGCGCCGAAGAATAGATTCTTTTGAACTATGGTGCTGGAGAAGACTCTTGAGAGTCCCTTGGACTGCAAAAAGATCAAATCAGTCAATCCTAAAAGAAATCAACCCTGACTGTTCCCTGGAAGGCCAGATAATGAAAATGAAGCTCAAATACTTTGGCCACCAAATGAGAAGGGAGCACTCACTAGAGAAGACCCTGATGCTGGGAAAGATTGAAGGCCAAAGAAGACGGGGACGGCAAAGGATGAGATGGTTGGACAGTGTCATCGATGCAACGAACATGAAATTGAGCCAACTTCAGAGGACGGCGGAAGACAGGAGGGCCTGGCGGGAGATGGTCCATGGGGTCGCGAAGAGTCGGACTCGACTGTGCGACTGAACAACAACAACTCTACTGGCGTTAAAATTGTGAGCGAGCGATTGGGCTGCTGCAGAAATCAGTTTGCTCCGGAGAAGTGTTCCCTCTAAGCCGAGTGAGTGTGAGCTAGCTCAGTTTTTCAGCCTCCAGCTCACAGATTTTTTGTCTTCGCTCAGGAAGGATGACTCTAGAGCCAGCTAATTTACGCAGTAGTCAAATCGCTCACAAATTTCATGCCAGTAGCTCACAGAGTAGATTTTTTGCTCACAGGATTCCACAACTTAGAGGGAGCATTGCTCCAGAGCGGTCTTTCCTGAGCTAAGACAAAAAATGTGTGAGCTGGAGGCTAAGAAACTGTGAGCTGGCTCACACTAACTCGGCTTCGAGGGGACATTGGATCCAACCAAGGTTTCTGTTGGGGAAAACGAAGGAAGAATAGCCTCTGGTCAACCAAGCAGCTGTGATAAGAATTACAGGACCTATGTGCAATGCTCCTTCTAAGCTGCGGGGTCCTGGGAGCAAAAATTCTGCTTTGTGAGCTACTGGGTTTCAGTTGTGAGCCAGAGACTTGGCTGCTGCAGAAATCAGTTTGCTCTGGAGCCATCTTTCCTGAGCTAAGACGAAAAATAATATAATAATAATATCTTTATTGCATTAGTAAAAAAAGCCGTAGCAAAAGAAAGGATAAAAACATGTGACCAATACTAGACGGAAAATGTGTGAGCCGGAGGCTAAGAAACTGTGACCTAGCTCACACTATGTAATGTACTCCGCCATTACCACGTGCGCGACCGTTGGGCTATGCGGTCAAGCAAAGCCCTGAAGCTTCGCTCAGGGAGAACAATAGCCAAGCGGATCCTAGCCCGCACCTATCAGAGGGCCAGGTCCGCAGCCGAGAGCCTATGGGACTCTCGGTTACTGTAAATAGCCTATAGGAAGTAGAGGGTGTGTTTTGGTGGTGGGTTTTCTGGGCATATATACCGGCGTGCGAGCCGGCAGTCTTTGTCTTATTCTATCCTAATAAAACTACTTTGCTGGAACCACTCAACGTTCTCAGTACTTTTCACACTAACATGGCTTAGAGGGAACACTGCTTCCCATCCGTCCTAGCTGAAGCCTGACAGCGCCAACTAGAGCCTGCGCTGCGCTCGGCTTCTGCTGCAGGGTCTGCAAAGGGCCGGTCTAACCACCACCAGTACCCCTCTTCTGTTCCTTCTAGGGAACGTGCCCTGGTGTAACAAGCTGTCTTCCGCTGGTGGTACTGCTTGCACCTTAGGCAGTGTTCCCTCTAAGCTGAGTTAGTGTGCGCTAACTCAGTTTTTTAACCTCCAGCTCACACATTTTTGTCTCAGCTCAGGAAGGAGGGCTCCAGAGCAAACTGATTTATGCAGCAGCCAGATCGTTCGCTCACAACTTTAACGCCAGTAGCTCACAAAGTAGAATTTTTGCTCACAAGAAGAAAAAGAGATTGGCTTTATACCCGACCCTTCACTCGGAGTCTCAGAGCGGTTTATAAGCTCCTTTCCCTTCCCCTCCCCACAACAGGCACCCTGTGAGGTGGGTGGGTGTTAAGCCGCTCGCTTAACAAAGAAGTCGGAGAGTGATTCAGCAAGAATACAGCTTTATTCTTCAACTCGAACACAACTCCAACAGGGATCAACATCTGATAGCCAGAACAGCTTTTAAATTGCAGCTGTCCTGCTTTTAAACATTCCCGGCTAATGTAGCCACACCCACTGTACAAATACCAACCAATAAGGTTGTTCACATAAGGACCAATCACGGATGTTCCCGCTCAGGGAGCTTGCTTGAAAGTGATTGGTTAGGTGCTTCCTGGGCTAGTAACACGATTGGATGGATTTGGATCCTAGCCCAGGACGAAGCTTTACATTACACTTCAGTTTATTTTATTTATTATTTGTATTTTTATCCCGCCCTCCCCGTAGGCTCAGGGCGGCTTACACAGCATGTCGCCGAAACATGTAGTAAAACAGTAAAAACATTAAAAACATTAAATAACGTTAACTCTTAAAACATACAAACAACAATTGGTGCTCGGCTCCTAAAGCCAGATGGCCGTAAAAAATCCCGTTCTCTTTCAGAGTGTCCACATCCGGTGACCCTGTCCACAAGCTTAGGGCGTAGATGGTGATAATGGTATACTGATGGTGTAATGGCGGTGGCAGCTCCTATTCAAAAGCCTGGCGGAAGAGCTCCGTCTTGCAGGCTCTGCGGAACTGTGCTAGGTCCCGCAGAGCCCTGATCTCCTTTGGGAGCTCGTTCCACCAGATAGGAGCCGCCACCAAAAACGCCCTATTCCTGGTCACTACTAATTTGGTAACCCGTGGACCTGGTACGTCCAATAAGTTCTGGGTCCCAGACCGTAGTGCTCTTGGGGGCACATGTGGGGAAAGGCGGTCCCTCAGGTAGGCTGGTTAGATGTTTCACAACATATCATGCATTCAAGGCAGCTTTGAATACACTACAGTTTTGCTGAGAGAACTCTGAGAGAGCTGGTCTTTCAAGAACAGCTCTGACAGAACTATGGCTTGCCCAAGGTCATCCAGCAGCTGCAAGTGGAGGAATGGGGAATCAAACCCGGTTCTCCCAGATGAGAGTCCTTGAGTTGATTTCCGGCCACTGTTCTGGAGACAAGAAAAAATACTCTACATGGCTATGCATCACTTGAAATTAAAAGATACTGTAAAGTTTGCCTCCCTGTTAGAAAGGAGATGGATGAGATCTAATAACGGGATTTTCATGATTAAGGATACATGAGTCTCCAATTTTGACATTTATTACCTTTGTTATTTCCCCCTGCAGTTGAACCCAAATAGGTGATAACCAGACACCAAGCTTAGATCCAGGTAGTCAGCCGTTTTGGTCTGAAGCAGTAGTACAAGTTTAGAGTCCAGTGGCACCTTTAAGACAACAAAGGTTTATTCAAGGTATGAGACACTGAGACAGGCCCATAGCTACAGTGGGGCATTTCGGGGCCTTGCCCTCTGACTCCCATGCAGCCCCTAGGCCCCCCAACTCTCTGGGCCACCTGGAGGACTCCCCACCACCGCCCCTTCCCCAAGTGCAGCTTGCTTCCCCACGTAGGCAAGCAGATTGCGAACGCTGCAAAAGTTGAGTTTTTAAATTTGTATTTTATTTTTTATTTTGTGACGTCAGTGCCCCCCCTCGACTTATTTAAAGGGCCCCCGAGTTACAAAATCCTGGCTATGGCCCTGCGCCAAGCTTGTCATTCTTTTTTATTTGCCCAATTAAAAATCTTTACAATTTCGCATGCTAATTGAAACAACTCACCCCCTATATGCACAACCGCGATCTGTACTATTCCAGTGTCTGACGAAGCGTGCATGCACACAAAAGGCCACACCTTAAATAAAACTTTATTGGACTTCTTCAAGGTGCCACTGGACTCTTAACTTCGTTCTGTTGCTTCAGACCAGGGGTCATTTCGTAGAAAAAGACGTGCAGGAGCTCATTAGCATAACTCATTAGGATAACTTATTTGCATATGCCACACCCCCTGACATCACCGGATGTGTGTCAGAAGGCAACACCCACTGCAACTTACCTGGCTGCTTCTTGCTCCTTATGGCCCAGGGCTGCTGGGAGCAGGGGGCGGGGCTTGTTGCATGTGCCCGCCCCTTGGGGCTGTTTACTGCCGGAGCTCCGCTCCTGTGCGCTCCTGCAGGAAATGACCCCTGCTTCAGACCAACACGGCTGCCCACCTTGATCATGCTTATGGGCAGGGCTTTTTTTGTAGAAAAAGCCCAG